ATGATTTCATTTCATCCTCAAAATGTATGGTTAAATCTTACTAATATCCTCATTCTGCAAATGAAGACACTAAGGCTCGGAAAGATAAAGAAATTCAACCAAGTTTATGCATATGATATACTTGAAGCTCTTAGTTTGTAGGGTGGCCAGAACAAAATACCACAGACTTGGTAGCTTAAAAAAAGAGACATTTATTTTCTCACACTCCTAGATCACAGAAAGTCCCAGATTAGGGTGTGGGTAGGTTTGGTTTCTTCGGATGCCTCTCTCCTTGGCTTGCGGATGGCCGGCCGCCTCTGTCTGTGTCCTCACATGGCCTTTCTCTGTGCATGTGGTTCCTTGGTGTCTGTGCCTGTGTCCCCAAATTTCTTCTTCTCTAAGGAAATCAGCCAAATTAGATCAGGGCACACCCTAAAGGCTGCATTTTAATTCAATCACCTCTTTAAAGACTATGTGTTGAAATCAGGTTCTATTCTGAGGTACTAGGGGTTAGGACTTTAACATGAATTTGGGAGGAACACAGTTTAGCCCATAACAGGAGCTGTAATTCATACCCAAGCTGTATGACTCCAGTCAAAATCTGAACTACTTAGCTATTCCAGGAGATGAGTCTCACACTATTCGGGATAGCAAAACCACCCACATTCTCAGACTCGATTATCATCACAGCCAATCGCGTAGTGTTTCCACTGATCTGTTATTTCCCTTCACGTGATGGAATGAGGCATCAAGTTCATACCAACAACACTAACTAGCAGCTAGCTTATTTACCCCATCATTATCAAGCAGCTAGCTTTAGAAGACTCCGCTATGGTACCAACTGAGGAATAACGCATTTCTGTTTTGGAGTGTTGTTTATTCCACACCCACTCATATCTTCATTTATTTATTCAACAAATATTTACTGAGTGCCTACTATATTCCAGGAATATTTTTCCCAAGCCCTTTTGGAATCTCAATCAATGTAATCCTTAAAATAAAAACAAAGGAATATCATTATTATTTTATAGATGAGAAAGTAAGTTAAGGCTCAAAGAGATTAAGTAATTTGCCCACAGTCACATCACTTAAGAGGTAGAGCCAAGGCTTGAAGAAGGCAACTTGAAGAAGGTAGCCTCATGGACTAGATCCTTCACCTGTGCTTTCCATTCTTCTTCCTTGCCAGCTATTGAAGTATCTGAAGTTGATAGTTACCATTGACATTTACTTTATTTTTTAAGAATAACTTGACCATTATTGCTAACTTAATAAAACTCTGATTTTCTCCATTATTATATATAATGTGAACTAGTTGCAGTTACTGTTCCTACTTAATGCACATATTTTATAGCAGTAAAGAACTCTGAGTTTTCTGATTCAAATTTGTGAGCTAGGAACCAAGTCTTCACCTCTGAAATGATAGAAATGATTTTTAAAACCAAAAAGGAATCAATAAAAACAGTGCTAGAAAGCATGAGGGGGTGGACCAGAAATTTTGAGGAATTCCAAGAAGGTAGAATAAGACAGGATTGGGCCAATGAAAAAAACAGACAGAAGAAAACAATCTAAGATAGAAGAAGTGAAGACAGTTTTTTTCTGTGAGAGCCTCCAAAGCAGAATTCATACCAGCAAGTGCAAAAAACAAACAAACAAACAAAAAACAGTTCTGCTCAAAGTATTTATTCTATAATTACTTTCAGAACAGTAGCAATGCTTGAAGATCATCTATGCTTCGTTACTTAGAGTACATCAATGATTTCAAGCTAAAATCTGACAACTGTTCTTTAAAGAAAGATGGGTGGTTGAGACTCCTACTAAAGATGGAAACAGAATCAGAGTGCTTGGGGTGTGGGGTGGATTTGAATCATGAAGCAGCCAGCACTGGGGGATGAAGTAGAAAAGGAAAATCAAGGCAGCTCCACCAAGGACTGAATGAGATACACTAAGCACCAGCTTTCAAAGGAACCCTTCGTAGGCTGACAACACTGCCTGCTTCTCTTCACTGCGCCCCACAGGAAAGCTGACCTGACAAGTAGTTCCTGCCCAAGTACTAGGACCATAGCCAGCTCTCCAGTTAAGAGACAGTTAGCAACTCAGAACACTTATTCCAACTATGTCTTTTAGCTAGCCCAGTTATTTATTTGCCAATATGAATAAACAAAGAATCATTAGATCATTTGAAGGCACCAGATTAGAAAATCCTGAAATTGAAGGAAGAAAGTGAAAAAACTGAGCAACCAACACATGAACACAGAAATAATTCAGAAAAAGACAAAATCATTACATAGTTATAAGTAATATTTCTAAATAATTTTAAAAAGATATTGCATTCATCAAACAAGAACAAGGTGCTGTGAAAAAAACAGGGTTCAACTAATAAAGGCTTGTTGTAAAATCAGTTGACTAAAACAATCATTGACAGAGTTGAACAATAAAATAAATCATCTGAGCTTCAGTTAGACATATGGAAGATAAAATTAAGAAGCTCTACCAGACCATAGATCAAAAAGACAAAGGAAATATAAGGCATTTCAGAAGGAGCAAACCAAAACAATAAAGAAGAAATTATCAAAGAAATAATAGAAGGTTTGACTTGCCTAAATAAAGATACATGACTTCTGCACCTTGTAAAGTATATTAAAAAGCCCAATATCTAGATACATATTGATATGATAAGTATTCCAAGGCTAACAAAAATCTTTAAAAATTTCAGAGATTAAAAAAATACTTATCTAAAAAGAAAAGACAAGGGATGAACATCAGAATTCTTATCAGTAATAATGGGTTCCAGAAAAGAATGATTGTTTTCAAAATTTAGGGGAAACATTATATCTAAAAAATACATTGAATAAAAACTCCTTCCCTCCTTTTTATTTAACCCTTCTCCTGGAGAACCCTCCTAGGAGGCTGAGGAAGAGAAACGTTACCCCTGACAGTGGGCAACCAGATGTTGGCATTCTGTTGAACCCCAAAATTTCACAGAACAGCAATATCAAGCAAGGCCACTCTGTGAATGTGATGGGTCAAGACAAAAAGATGACCATTCTGCAATCATGTCTATATAGAGATCAAACTTGAATATTGTTTAAACGGCAAACATGAACAAAGTTCCTCTACCTAATAAGCTTTATTAACACATCGAGTCATAGAATTAACCTCACTTCCTAATATCATCCAATTAGAGCAAAGCCCCTCCTTCTTAAGCACTCCCCCAAATCACCTAACACCAGCCCAAATCCTTTCTAATAAGTCCTTGTTAAACTTCTTAATACTTTCTTACTGAGATGCCCCATGGTTCTCCATGTAGTGTGTTTTTTTCTAAAAGAGTAATAACCCAACTTCTTTACAAAGAGATGTGTTCTTGGTGGTGCTCAGCTGGAGGGTTCTGATAGGCCTTAGGCATTTATATTTATATTATCTCAGGTAATAAAAAAGCAGCTCCTTTGGACTAGCTTTCTTGGTCCAGGCAATTATCACCAATGTTTACCAAGCATTCATTACCTGCCAAGGGCTTTCTATGGATTGACTAACTCATTTGATTCCCACAATGGCCCTTTGAGTCCACAGGCTTAGTACCCCATTAACAGAGGAAGAAACTGAGGTACAATGATTATAACATTACTAAGTGCCTGAGCCAGGAGTCCAAGGCAACCAGTTGGCTGGGTGCTATGGCTCCAATGTCCACACCATGCTGTTTCCTGCTGAATTGGTGGTCTACTGTGCTCTAGAAATTCATGTAACAGTGTGGTCACAGGTTACTGTGCCATCAGCCTACACTGAAGGGCACTATAATAAGCAGCCCCAGGAAATCACTGCTGGGTTTCCTGCAAGATATGAGAGAATGCAGACCCACAGGAAAAAGAAAAACTTCTCCCTACTCACAGTACCAGAAAGAAATGAGCTTCTTCTAAGCAGCTGGATTGTTTTCACCCAAAAAGATATTAATATTCTAATTCACTTTTCAACCTGATTTTAATAAAGGTATTGCATGATTTTAAGTTGCATAAACTCAACCAAGAAAGGTTTTCATTTGCATTTATCTTTCAATTTTACTATCGTGGTCAAAAAAGCATTCTGGCTTGGTAGTAATATAGGGAGCATTTCTTTATCTCCCCAGAAAGAGGGTTACTGAGGCAGGGAGCCCTGGAAAGCAATAATTAATACCCAGGGAGATTTCAGTAACCTAGTTTCATTTTATTTATTTTTGTAATTACCTTCCATCTATAGCCTATATTGGTTTTCCATTTACAAGTGGTATAAAGTTTCCTTTTAAAATTACTTCAGTAATAACTTGAGTTTGTTTAAAGGCAAATGTTAAGTAAATAGTGGTACAGGTGGTAAGAAACCAAACAGCTAAACAGAAATCATTAAGGTATTTTGGGAAACCCTGACTTCAGTTTCCTCTTTGCCCTGGATGCTGGAAAGACCAGGGTTTAATTTATTGGTCACTGACCTCAAGGTGCAGTTTCCGGTTCCAAGAATTTCTCCTACTCTAACTCCTAGCTCTATCTTCTATCTCCTCCCTCAATTTCCCCTCTGCTTTCTTGTCTTCCTACTACGTTTTCAGGGAAAAAAAAAAAAAAAAGAGCCTTTCTTTTCTTTAATAACACTGTGTCCAAAGAGGAGAAAAGACCAGGGCTATCCATTTATGAGGTGAAGGGTGCTCTCGAAAACCGGGTGCGTCTGATTTCCTCTAGTCCTTGGAAGTTTTAGTTCTTCAAACTGGGCAGAAATCGTGTTTCTAAAACTGCTGGGACAGCAGATTCTTTGGCTTTCCTTCGTCCCAGCTTAGAGTCGCCACGACAGCTTGTTCCTGTAAAAGTGTGAGTGAATTAAAGTCCTTCAGTGAAAAAGCAAGGAGGAGATGACCCAGATGCGTCCTCCTCCTCTCTGCCTTTGCAGCACCTTGGCCTTCGGTCCACCTCCCACCTCTTTCCAATCCCTTGGAGTAAGGAAGTTCTTGGGGACTCCAAGGAGGCCCGGGGGTTGGGAGCAGGGCTGGGGGCGGGTAGAGGGCAGGGATGGAGACTAGCTCCCGGGAATGGGAGGGGGATGGGCAGCGCTGGAGAATAACGCCCCGGAGCCGGGCTGCGAGCCCCAGATTCCCGGGAAATCCCAGCAGCCTGGAAGAGCTGGGCTTAGAGTCTCCCCTCTTTGAAGAGTTCTCAGGAAGTTTGGGGGGAGGGGCGAGCCGCTCTCTCCTGTTCAAAGCGGGCGGGAGGGTGAGGAAAGAGGACAGTAGCAGCAGGTCTCGGAGCTGTCACGTTCCTGCCCACGGGCAAGACGCGGGCGAGGGGCGAGGGCGAGCGCGCCGGCCGGCATGGAGGGACTGGTCCTGTTCAACGCCCTAGTCACCCGGCTGCTGTTCTTCTTGCACTCGCTGGTTGGGGTCTGGCGAGTGGCCGAGGTGAAGAAGGAGCCGAGGTACTGGCTGCTCGCGCTGCTCAACCTCTTGCTCTTTCTGGAGACTGCGCTCACCCTCAAGTTCAAGCGCGGCAGAGGCTACAAATGGTGAGCGCATCCCGGGAAAGGGAGGGCACGAGTCCCCGGGTACTATCCCCTATGGCACTGGCAGGCAGCCCAAGAGCCCTTCTCCCCGACTCTTGACTCGGATTCGGACCCCCTTTGTCCTCTCTGGGAGCCTCGAAGGAGCGTGAGATGCTTGCGCGTCTCCTGGGCACACCGCAGTACCTCAGGGTCCCAGGGCAACGCTGGGAAGACTCAAATCATAGCCACGCGACACCCAGTCCCAGGTTTAGCAAAATGGAAAATGAGAAAAGAAAAGATGCACTTGGTTGCTCTGCAGAAAGTGCTCCAAATGGAGAAGTCTTGGGGCTAGGGGTGTCATGTGCCTTGCTTTCTGAATTTTAGGGTGAGCGTGCATGCAAGTACGGGAATGACCTTCGCTGGGCGCCAGGGACTTGGACAAGGGCTTGTGTGCATGGGGCAGTGATGAAGCGCAAGAAGACCCTGGAAGCACAGCAGTCTGTGCTTTCAGCCACTTTGCTTCCTTCCAGCCTCGCATGGCACCGGCTTCGGGTGTCTGGGGTTGGTTGCTTCGGAGCTTGGTTAATGGTCAGCTCATCTTGTCTAAGATGAGTTGCCACGCTGGTAGAGGGACCAGCAGGGGGTGGTTCAGACTTAACCTCAACAACGCAAGAATTACAGGCTCAGCATGATGCGTTATTTCATCCCCAAACACTTGAATGGCAATAGAAGAAATGAGAAAAAGATTTTCTTGCCATTTACAAACAGCCTCCACCTCCATCCCTCCATTTCCAGTAGATTTTCATCCCAAAACTTCTCCAGGGTCGGCCTCTTCCTGTATTAATTTTTAAAAAACGGCGAGGCTGTGTGTTCATATATGTCAATACTTTTAAAACTACCCAATTCTATGAGAAAGAAATAAAAAAGAATTCAAGAATTGCACACAGCATGGAATTATAGTTAGAAATATAGTTATATTAAGAGAGAGAGAAACACACACACACACACACACCTTTGTTTACAGTTCTATATATCAAACTACAAAAGACTGTATTTCATAATAATTCTGGGGGTGTGTATGTGAATGTGTTGTCTCTTAAAATGATGTAAATATTGCTTAAATTTTTCACTGTTGAAAAAGTTCTAAATTACCAATAAAACATCATTCCAATAGAATCTTAATCTAATACAATAAGGATTAGAATGTTACTTCCCCCTGACCCTATGAACAGCTTATTAAACAGGAGATGGTTAAGGTACTTTTCAGTGTACCTTTTGGATATCTCAAAGAAAAATGGTATTAGCTTCTTAATGGTACTAGTGTTAAAGAAACAAAAGGGGAGAAAGTGTGCACCCATCAGGTCATATGAAATTGATTCAGGTTTTACTGGGTAGCTTTAATATGCTAGGGTAGACAATATCTTCAATAATAGGAAGATGAAGTCTGAGGCTGAAAATGTTCTACTACCAACCATCAGAGCTTTGGGAGAAATGTTAACCTCAGAAGAGGGATTAGTGCAGCAGGTCCTGAAATATCCCCCCTTCTTCTCCAAAAGTAGACAAGAGTCCTTAGCTCACATTAAATCAAATTCCCCTCCAGTTGTATAGAAATACTGTAGCCAATGGAAATTTACCTTCATGTCTATATCATCATTGATGGCTGATTCAGACAAACATATAACTCACAACCAAGAGAGGAAAACGAAGTTGAGGCAAAAATAAATGATGGTCAATGTGACGAGTTAAATAAGAGACTGGGGACATATTCAGATAGATAATGGAGTAAAATCTGGGTTTTCCTGCTTACTTGCTGTGAGGTATTGAGCAAGTTACTTAACCTCTCTGAGTCTCAGTTTTGTTGAAATAACATATGTTGATGATCAATGACTAAAAAAGGAATGGTCTTTTCTAGATCCTAGGGTTTCTCTGTTTTTGTTTTTTTTTTATTAAAAAGCATCCAGTATCAATCGAACACATTTCCTGCCTGCACATCTTTATTTGAGGGGCTGGCCTATAAACCATTGGTTCAGAGACAAAAAGTAGAAAAAAATTCTTACTCTTATTGTAGAATAGGATGATGATGTATATTGTACATTATAGAATAATTCACAAAAAACTTTCAGGCTCAATATCTAAACTAATATTTAAAAATAAGAAAAAAATGGATAGATTAAGCTTATTACCAAATGTCAGGAATGAATCAGTTTTTGTAAATAATCTAAATAGAAATGTGATTAGTAATGCTTTATTCTACTAATGTTACAACTGAATCTGCAAATATGGTAATTTTTGTGTTGGACAAAGTGCTCAGATTATTCTGTCATAAATCTGAGAAAAGAAATCCGAAGATGGAATGATAAAATATAGAGAAAAGTATCCCTGAGGTAACATGGCAATAATTTAAAGGGGTTGGATTTGGGACATATTTCATTCCTGGGCTGAAGTTTTCTAGGTAAGGCAGGCATAACTTTTTGTTTTTTTCTGAGTGTAAAAAAAAGTTTCCATCAGAAAATCAAGACTGATGAAATAAAAAAATAAAAAAAAACAGCACAAAGTAAATATTATGGCAGTACCTGTTTTTCTATATAGGAAAATGTTAATATAGATATATATAGAGATCTATAGTAATATAGATATATATATTTTTATCCAATGGTCTCACACCTTGCAATTTACCCTATAGAACCAAAATTACCTATATGTGAATAGATATGCACAAAAATATTAATTTCCACCTTGTTAGAGGAAAATTAACCTGAAAGCAACCCAATTATTCATCAATAGACTGGCTGAAAATTACAACATACCCATACAGTAGAATATTTTTCTGATATTAAAAATATTGAGCTAGATTTTACTTATTGACCTGTAGGGATGCCCATGGTATGTTGCCAGGAAAATAAGGTTACAGAGTTATATATGTAAGGTCTCTTTTTTTTAAAGGACTTCTCAAAGAACTACTCTGTGTATCAGTTGAATACATTATCTATTTTCAAGTTGAGAAGGAGAAGGAGAAACTCTTCCATAATGAATATCAATCATTCAATTAATGCCTTAATAGTGGACTAAACTCTGTACACACATGAGGTGAAAATTTATTTTGCAGAACATCAGATCCATGAACCTCCTTTAGATCACCCTGGGCTAGTTTGCACATTGTTCTTTTACTATATTTGGCGCCTGGCCCCAAATAAATAAAATCTACAGATATCATGAAACAATAAACAGCTATAGAGGAAAATGTGAACAAAATTTCTTGAAACGTAGCAAACACATTACACTTGTCCAAAGAATGTTTCTTTAGCTATCCTTTGGAAAGGAAAATGGAACTAAGGCTGCTGAGCTCAGCTGTCCAGGGACAGGCAACATTACATCAACACTGATAACTTGCCAGTTGGAGAAATTTAACTTGTTGGAATTCTATAGGAGAGGGTAAGCCAACAACACACCCCTTGTTAAGTGCAATAAATGTGTGCCAGTTGAATCTGTTCTATTTCACCTAGGATTTATTACTTTCACCTGCCAATTTACTTACATTCCTATAAGATAGAAATTAGTATCACTTTGCTTTATTTTATTTTCTATTGTCTGGGCAACAGTCCAATGGACCTGTGAATTACCATTTAGGTAAAATCAAACAGCAGACAGACAGTATTTCAGTTGCTTTCTAGCCAATAGTGATACAATATTCTTCAAGGAATAGAAAAATGACCAAGATTGTGACACATTTGAATCCTGTTCACTTGAAAGTAGACAGTATCTGAGAATAAGTAGACCTCTAAGTTGAATTTACTGGCAAAAGTACACAATTTTAAGTACTGAGTTTTCTTGATCAGAATTTCCAAAATACAAGGTAAATATGATTGAGTTATAAAAGACTTCACCTTTTTGGGCACTTTTCTTCATGATCTCTCTTCCCCTCTTCCTTTGCTAAGTGCAATCAGATAACTAGTTGTTGCGCTGTCTAATTAGTAAGCACGGTACTAAGTTAGACACTGCACAAGCAGGCGAAGGAAACAAAACAAACACACTCAAAAAATTTAAATATAAGGTATCATTTTGATGAAGTGCTCAAATGTGTGGGAATAAGAATAATTATGAATATTTGGCACTTAGTAACGTTCAGGCTCTTTCAAGGTTTTATACACACTGTCCCATTTGATACTGATAGAAACTACAATTATTTTGTTTCTCTGTTTTCACCCATTTTTAGAAGAGAAAACAGAGGCACAGAGCTGTTAAATCATTTTACTTGGGGCCACTTAGTTGATAATTGGGAGAGGAGGGATATTAAAACTCCAACAATTTAGAGGAGAAAGGATGTGATGAGGGGTACTGTGGTGGGAGGTTGAGAGGGGGCAAGAGGGGACTTTACCACATTTGGTCTGTAGCAGGAATAATGGATAAGAGAAGAATGCAAAGGCTTTGTAGGCAAAGGACATCCTGAGATTGGTGAGTGTGGGGAATCTTGAGCAGATTTCTCTGGAGCAAGTAGAGTCTTATCCTTCTTCATTCACCAAAAATATCTGGAACATCTAATATGTAATAGAGATTGTTTGAGTACCAAGAATACAGATGAATAACACAGGTAAAATCCTGCCTGAAAGAACACACATTTTAGTCCAGGGACTCAGAAAAAAAAGAAGTAAATAAATAAGTGAGCAAATGAGTAATAAAGTAAACAAGTAAGCAAATAAACAATGAATTCTCTGAACTATGAAGGCCAAAGTGACATGGCTGATAGAGGGAAGGAGTCCCACGGGGGAGGCTCCACTGGGTGGTCAGAGAGGCTTTTCTGGGGAGAAGACATTTGAGCCGAGTCTATCAAAGAATAGAAGGAGCTAGACATGGGGAGAACCAAGTAGATGAAAAATTGAGAGAGGGAAGAGGTAACTGTGCCCTGGGACATTTCTGACATACTCCAGACATACTCCCAGAAAATAGATAAACACTGACTTTCTTCTCTACTCATCCTTATCTCTTCTCCTCATGTATCCTGCCTCCAAGAGGAAAATTTCTCCTAA